GAGGAGGATGAAGCGGAGAAGGGAGGAGAAAGAAAAACATAATGAGAAAGGAGGAGGGACGGAACGGGCAGGACGCGGAGCAGGGAGGACGAGGGGAAGAGGGAGGAGAGAGCAGGAGGAGGGCGCCGAGATCCTCACTTCGCCTTTTGCTGCAACGGGCGATTTTGCCTTGCTTCGGGCCGCGGCGCTCTCACGGATCGATCCGGCTTGAGAAATGCAGCAGAAAGAGCTCCGGTCGAGTTTTGTTTACGAGGTGGCATTTCTTTCGTGACATCGGATCCCAGGGGAGGACCCGGGGTGTGCGCATGTCATGACCGAAGACATGAGATCCCATGGTTACTCTGGAAACCTTGGGTTCGGGCTTGCAGGGATGTTCGAAACGTTTCCCTGCACGCGCCTGGGCGGACAAAGGATTCCAGACAACGTTGAATGTGTAAGAGAATCTGGCTTCGGGAGCGCGAGCTCAGCGTAAATTAGTATGGATTCTGGCCTCGGGGGCGCGAGCCACGCGTAGTGTGCCAAGGATTCTGGCATCGGGGGCGCGCATCTTGCGCAACTTACACCAACTATGCCGGCCTCGGGAGCGTGAATTCGGTGCAATTCACAAGCGAATCTGGTTTCGGGGGAGCGAATCCGACGTATTATAAAAAGTGTTCTGTGGTCAGGATTGCGAGTCTTGATGATATGCAAAAGGACTATTGCATCGCCCTGCGAGCCCGAATCTTGCATCATGTACGAAGGATTATGATTTCGGGGGCGCGGATCTGGTATAATGTGCAAAGATTATTACGTCGGGAGCGCGAATCTAACGTAATCTCGGGAACGTGAATCTGCTATACATGACAAAGGATTTCGGCTTAGGGAGCGCAGGTGCATTTGAATGTACAGAAGAACGCGAAAGAGAGAGAGAGAGAGACAACAAAGAGAGAGAGAGAGAGAGACAGCGGGATCCTGCAGGATTCCGGCGGGTTCCTGGGGATTTTTGGAAGAGCGCCTGTGAAACCATTGGGCTCCCCACTGGTTCCAATGCGATCACTGCGTCGTTTTGCGCAGTAGATTCCCAGTAATTCCGAAGGTGATCCCAGGATCGCGTTTCGCATCCCTGGGAACCGATTCCCAGTGATTCCAACGGTGATTCCAAGCGCTGGGCCAGATTTCTTTGGATTCCGATAGAATCCAAGTGGGCGATGTTCATGATTACGAGCACGTTGATGAAGAGAGGTAATGTAAGGAGGCGGGGGGAGGGGAGGGGGGCCGGGCACACTTGAGCAGCCAAGGGGGGGGAGCGGTTCGAAGGAAGCCCTACCTGCCCTTTGTAGTGATGGTGGCTCAAGACCGTCGCCCCCGCTTCCCCGCGCAAGCTTGAAGCCTCAGGGGGGGATCTCCCCCTTCCCCGCCTCTTTTTCGCGGCTGTAAGTTCTGCTGATCTCGGGCGCCGGAATGTTCTATGTCGCCTCCGAGACCGAAAGTTTTGCATCGCAACAACCATGATGTACATCATTCTTCAAATAGCGCTTGCACTCAGAGGGCTTTTTTTTCATTCTAAGTAATGGGTTGGTCTGTCGAAGGTCCTGTTCGTCGCCGCCCGTTGCCGCCTTGTCGCCGCCCCTTGGGGGGCATGTCAAACTCGTGTCCGCCTCGTTGCGGCTGCTTGGTGGCCGCCGACATGGGGGGTCTGTCGGGATTTCGCCGCGTCGCCGCCCGTGGCCGCTGCGTCGGGGGGGACGAGGAGGGCGAGGAGGGGGATGAGGAGGTGGCGGACGACAGGGGCGACGAGGAGGGGGAGAAACGAGAAAAGAGGAGCAGGAGGGAAACTTAGGGTGAGAGAAGTGAGGAAAACGAGAAAGAGGCAGTCATCAGGAGGAGGGGGAGGTGGAAAAAAGAAGGAGAACAACGACGACGAGGACGAAGGGGACGACGAGGGCGACGACGAAGACGCCGGCGGTGGCGACAGCGGGGGAGACGAGGCCAAGGCTGCAGCAGAACGGCACAGCTGGACAACTCGGAAAGGCAAATGACGCAGATCGAGGTCAACGCGACAGTTGGGCCACCATTGAGGAGGACCGCGAACGCGGATACACGGCCAATGCTGTAGCAAGGGCGCCATTTTGGAAGGACCAGGAACGCGGAAACAGAACGGACGAACGGGGGCGTTATTTGAAAAGCAACATCACCGATCGATTTGATAAGACACATAAGAAAAGCTTGCCCGCGCAAATTGTGCGTCTAAAAAGCCCATGCGCGGAGGGGGGGGCGGCTACTCTCGGGAGATAATTTGCGCATTGGACAAGGAACAAACAGCGCGGAGAGGGAGAAGGGGGAGGGATAGGGAATGAGGGGGGAGAGACATGAAGGGAGACAGGGTGAACGAGCAATGACAGGAAATGGGGAGAGCGATTGGGGAGAGGGAGAATGGGAGGGAGATGGAAAAGAGAAGGGGGGAGCGGGAGAGGGAATTGGAAAAGGAACTGATGGGATGCAGCAGGGAAGGAGGAAAGACTAGAAAGAGGGAACAGGGTGAGGCAGAGGGAATGGAGAAGGGCAATGTGGAGAGGGAACGAGGCAAGCTAGGTGCATTCGCGAAATATCTGACATCTTACCCCTCCCCCCCATCCCTGGCCATTGCGCTGATGGAAGACGCCTACGGCGAATCATCGCCGCCTCCTGCTTTTTTGGAAGCGCCTATGTGGCCGAACGTTGAGGCCAGACCTGCCAAGCTATAAGACCATCTGTTCCCCGAATCGGTTTGGAAAGCCTTCGGGGAACACGTGGGCATCTTGAAGGTCATCTTGGCCGTCTGGAGGCCATTTTGACCCTTTCGGGCTTTCTTGGAGGACGTCTTGGAGGGCTCTTTGGCCGTCTTGGAGGCCATCTTGAGCGCCTTGGAGACCTTCTGGGCCATCTTGGGCGCCTCTTGGGGCCGTGTCTTGGGCCTCCTGGGCGATGGGCACTTGGGCCGTCTCGGGCCGTGCAAGGCAGAAAAAAAAGCAAATGCCACAATCTGTTGAAAACCCATGGGGAATCAATGATTTTGGCCTTTTCGGGCCTTCCTGGAGGCCCTCTTGGAGGCCTCTTGGGCCGTCTTGGGCCATCTTAGGGCCATTTTCAGCCGTCTGGGTGGGCTCTTGGTCCATCTGACGCCGTTGGAAGCCGTTTGGGAGCCTCTATGGGCCGACTTGGGGCCCTCTTGGAATGCTCCAGGGCGGTCTTGGAGGCCTTCTTTGGCGTCTTAAAGGCCTCCTGTGCCGTCTTGGAGGCCTCTTGGGCGATCTTTCGGCGATCTTTGGGAGCTCTTGGGCCGTCTCGGGCCGTCGGACGGCCGAAAAGAAGCAAATGTCAACGTCCTTCAAAAACCAATGGAAAATCAACGTTTTTGGCCTCTTCTGGCCTTCCTGGAGGCCCTCTTGGGGGCCTCTTCGGCCGTCTTGGGCCAGCTTCGAGCCACCTTCGGCCATCTTGGTGGGTTCCTGGCACGTCTGACGCCGTCGGGAGCCGTCTTGGGAGGCTTTCTGGGCCGACTTGGGGCCATGTTTGGGCGCTTCGGGGCCGTCTTAAAGGCCATCTTGGCCGTCTTGGAGGCCATCTTGGACGTGTTGGACGCCTCTTGGGCCGTCTTCGGGCCCTCTTGGGGCGGTCTTGGGGGCGTCTGGGGCCGTCATGGGGCCCTCTTGGAGGCCTCTTGGGCGATCTTGGGGGCCTCTTGGGCCGTGTTGGGCCGTCGGAACGCCGAAAAGGCGCAAATGCCAAAGTCCTTCAAAAAACCTACGGAAAATCAATGATTTTGGCCTCGTCGGGCCTTCCTGGAGGACCTCTTGGAGGCCTCTTGGGCCGTCTTGGAGGCCTCTTGCGGGCCTTTTGGGCCGTCGTAGGCCATCTTGAGGCCATCTTGGGCCGTCTTGGATGCATCTTGGGGCCATCTTAGCCGTCTTGGAGGCCATCTTGGCTGTCTTGGAGGCATCTTGGAGGCTTTCCTGGGCCATCTTGGCCGTCTTGGGACCATCTTGGGCCATCTTAGGGCGGAACAGGCATTGACTTGTGCAGTTTCCGGGTGGCCGGCGGGACGCGCAGGAGCCCCAGGGGGAGTTCTTTTGGAAAAGAACCAAAACCAAAAACCATATTGTTTGGCACGCCAGCCACCCTTGCGATGAATCGACAGGGGGCGGCGGATTTGTCTAATTGTCTTCGGCCCATCCCGCCACCGTGCCTGGGTTGTGGGTGTAAAGCCTATTGGATGTTCGTTGGGATCTCGTGGGGGGCCCATCGGGTGCCTCTTGGATGCAGTTTTGAAGCCTCCTGGGGGCCGTCTTGGAGCCTCCTGGGGCCTTTTTTCGGGCCGCTTAGGGCCCCCTTGGGGCCCCTTGGGGCCCCTTGGGGGCCTCTTGGGGTTCTTTGGGGGCTCCGGTACGACTTCGAGCTGTCTTGTGGTCCTCTTGAGGCGTTCGCGAGGCATGTCAGAAGCCATCTTGAACCATTGTAGGGTCCATCTTGGAGCATCGGGGGCCTTCGTGAAGCCATCTTGGGCCAAAATTGATCCCTGACACTTCGCGGACCGCCCCAAGAAACCTCATGGAGGGGGGGTACCCCTCCCGAAGGAAAGAGGGTGTGTGAAAAGGACAGATCTCGCTGGACCCCCTGCGCCCTCAAGGGGTGGTGGGACTTCATGTGCCAGAGTTTGGTGCGGCCAGTCCAGGGAGGTGGGGCAGGGGAGGGGTGCCGGAGGGAGGAGAGAGCAGGAAGAGGGGGCTTCCATTCGGGGGCGGATCTATGTAATCAGATTATTTCCCGCTTCCCCAACCTTCTCCGCTCATCCCCTTCGATCTATTCTTCCCCCGTCTCCCACAGGGCTTGAACTAAATGGTAGTTTGGCGATTTCGTGGGCCGTTTTCGTTTTGATTCCGTTGTTTGTGGCACAGGCAGGACGGATACAGAACGAGGGAGAACGAACAACGAAAGCGAAGAAGACTATTTAGCTCGAGCACCGCTCCCGCATCCCCCCCTGCAGGGCCTGTACTTCGCCTACAGGAGCACATGCGGTCCAGAGAGGGAGAAGGTCAACGAGCCGTCCGCGTTCTTCCTGGCCGGGCGCAGCATGGAGCCCCAGTTCCTCCGCGTCCGACCATCTTGGGGAGGATCGAGGAACGAGTTGTTTCACACGTTCTATGCCGATTCTGGTCCTTCTCGGGTCAGGGGCAGTGAAGGCCAGACGGAGTCGCCGTGTGATGTGCGCACTCAGAGTTGTGCGCATCTCGTGCAGCTCTGGGAAGGAGACGAGTTGGAGAAGCAGCAGGAGGACGAGGAGGCGTTGGTCCAGGCCACCCATGCGGGGCCAGAGTAGAGCCCCGTACCGCCGATGCATTCCCACACCACCTGTTTCGGCTCGTTTGGCGGCCTGCATTCAGGCGGCAGGCTTGTCTGCATTACCCCGCCCTGGCTGGTATACTTCCAGTGCCCAGTCCTGGCCAGATGTGGCCTCAGTCAATCGATTTCGGGCCGCGCAGGATTTGTGCTTCCAGCTCTTCCTGGCCTTCCAATCGCGCCCCTCGAAGGATGATCGTTTGTGTTTTCCTCGAACGAGGATCGATGAGGACGAGAAGACACGGAGGGGGATCGATTTTTCCGAGCGCTGTTGGTCCTTTTCGAGGATTCTGGACGCCTCTGCAGGCCTCCCAGGACCTCCTGTTACTCCGGTTATCTCCAGAGATTTCCAGACCATTGTCACCGAGATGATTTCCCAGTCCGTGGTAACCCAGCAACGGGCAGGAACGCGGTAGGAAAATGCCACTTCAGAGCGGTATGGCGCTGGAAGGTGGTACGTAGCAAAGACATCGACACGCGTGTCTGTTGAGTGCCCATTAGGGTGGGGCTGACTGGCAGCCTGCTCCACATCGATTCGCCCCTGCCCACCGTCTCGACGCGGTGCGACTCGGCAGGTCGGCCTCGGGCCCACTGGTGTCTCCTTCGCAGCTCTGGCACAGTCGATCTGGATGCCGCCCTCGTCCATCATGCAGAAGGAAACATGCATGAACATAAACTTCCTTTCGAAGGTCCGCGTCGTCGTCGTCGCTGGATCCTTCTCCACGCCCCTGGGCGGTGCCTCCAGTGCCGCCTCGCGCATAATCCGTGAGCGAAGTTCCCATTTCGCGTTCCCGCTGGAGTCTTCCGAACGGGCTTGTGCCCAGGCACTAGGTCTTGATGTTGCCCTCATCCTCCTCCTTCTGCTCTTCCTCCTGCCATCACCCCTGCTCTTCCTCCTACTCCTCCTTCTCCTAGCATCACAGTTGACGCAGAGAGGAGCCCGATTGTTCTATCGATCGACCGATCCCACTTATCCTGGTCGACCTCGTCGTACTCATCTTCGCTCCTCCCCTTCTCCTTTTCACCCCGTTCTCTTTCTGCTGCCGCTGCTGTTCCGCCTCTAACTCTCTGGTCTCCGGCCTACCCAAGGAACGCCAGACTCGGCCAAGCTCGGATTCCACACCCATTGCCCCCATTCGGCGCCCCGCCCTTGGGCCTTCTCCTCCTCCTTCCCCTCCTCCTCCTCCTCCTCCTCCTCCTCCTCTCCTCCTCCTCCTCCTCCTCCTCCTCCTCCTCCTCCTCCTCCTCCTCCTCCTCCTCCTCCTATCCCGCATTTTCCACGGACCAGGCGCACCGAGTCCGTGACACTGCCGTTTTGCTGGATCACCTGAGACCTCAGATGTCCAAGAGAGTGTTTCTTTATTGCTTGGGGCATGACGGGCGTCATGGCCCCCACCCCCACCCCTCATGACTTAATTAACGCTCCCCCCCCAGTGCGTTCCAGGCATTGCCGCCGTGCGCATCGGAATCCCCATAGTTGTCCGCACAGGAATCCGCATTGGACTCTGGTCCGCAGTCGTCGTCGTCGTCGTCGTCGTCGCTCGTCGCTCGTCGCTCGTCGCTCGTCGCTCATCGTCGTCGTGCGCGCGGACGTGGCTGGAACCTACTTTTTTATCCCAGGGCCGGTGAGGGCAATCATCTAGCGTGGCTTGGGGTGGAGGGGGCCGATGACGTCACGTTTCGCGCTGGCGGCGTCTGGGAATCCCCAGGAATGATCAAGGACGGGCAGCAGCAGCAGCAGCAGCATGTAGGTGGCGATCTGCATCACAGCGAATGTGTACACCACAGTGCCTGCATGCACCGCAGCGCCTGTGTACACCACGGCGCCTGCGTGCACCACAACATCCGTGTGCAGCAGAGCACCATTGTTGCATATAGAGTGTTTGAAGAAATTCTTATGACAAAACGGAACGCCTGTGGATCCAAAGAGGACACATGTTTTGTATAGGATTCGGAACGGAATTCTCATGGAAAAAGGAGCGCCCGCCGCTGGATTCTACGAGTCCTCCCGAGTCCGCCCGCATCACCCTAGATCCTCCCATCTGCGTCCAGGAGGCTCCAGCAAAATTGGCCGTCCGAGAACCAAGTGGACTGATTCAATAAACCATTATGCGGTGCACGCTGAGATGCGCACATGCGTTGTAGTGCCGACCCGCACGACAGGGGGAAGGGTAAGGGAGGAGGAGGAGCAGGAGGAGGTGGAGGTGGAGGTGGCGGAGGAGGAAGGAGGGAAGAACGTCGCATTGTATGATCAGCACTTCCCTGGCGTGGCTCTTAGTTCAGGAAGGGTCCGGTTCGGGCCGGTTCGGCGGCGGGCCGGTTCGGTTGCACCAGTTCGGTTTTCGGCGCCGGTCCGGTTTGAGCCGGTCCGGTTTGGCGAGTCCGGTCGGTTCTGCCGGTTCGGGTCGGGCGGCGGTCCGGTTTTGGGCGGTTCGGTTCGGGGGTCGTCGACCTCCGGACAAAAAGCGAGGAGGAGGCCCCGGCCACCCCCCGTGGCCGGGGCCACCCCCCCCGTGGCCGGGGCCACCCCCCCCCGTGGCCAGGGCCACCCTCCCCGTGGCCCCGCTTTCGGCGTTTGCTGGTGGGGTGGTTCCCGCGGGAACCCGGGTACCCCGGAGGCGGCCCCCTGCCCTCGCGCGGGGGGGCCGCCGATGGGGCCCGCCCTCCCGCGGTCCGCCGCGCGCCTGCCCCCTCCCCGCCCCCTCCCGGTCGTCGTCGTCGTTCCTTGCGTCGCGCGCGCCGCCCGCCAGGTGCCATCGACGGCGCCATCGCCAGGGGAGGAGGAGGAGGAGGCGGAGGAGGAGGGGGCGGAGGAGGAGGAAGGACGGAGGAGGAGGAGGAGGAGGAGGAGGATGAGGAGGAGGGGGTATAGGACGGAGGAGGAAGCGGAGGAGGAGGAGGAAGAAGGAGGGAGGAGGCGGAGGAGGAGGAAGAGGACCCCGAGGGTCGTCGAGGGTTCCGCGGGTCTCCAAGGGGTCCGAGGGTGTCCAAGGATTTGCCTGGGGGGCCTGTTCGGTTCCAGCCGGTTCGGTTTGGGCGTCCGGGACGGTTTCGCCTCGCCAGTTCGGTTCGACGCGGCCGGTCCGGTTCTGACCGGTTCGGTTTGGAGTCCGGTTCGCGCGGTTCGGTTCGTTCGGCCGCCGGTTCCCGGTTACCAGTTCGGTTCAGACTCTTCTTGTTAGTTGTCCGCAGCAGATTCTCACCGACATGCTCCCTCTACCTGTCCTGTGCACGCAGGCGCTGTGGTGTACACCGGCGCTGCGTTGCACGCGGATGCTGTGGCACAGACAGGCGCTGTGGTTCGCACAGGCGCTGCGGTGCACGCAAGAATTGTGATGTGCACAGGGGCTGCTTTGCACATGGTTGCTGCGGTATACACGCTCTCTGTGGTGTACATCGGCGCTGTGGTGCACGCAAGCGTTGTGGTGTACACAGGCGGTGCGTTGCATACGGCTGTTGCGATGTACGCAGGCGCTGTGGTGTACACGCGCTCTGTGGTAAAGGCGAGCATAGTGGTGTACACAGGCGCTGTGGGGCAGATCGCAACCTACAAGAAGCTGCTCGCGTCGACATCGTCGTCGTCGTCGTCGTCGTATTCGCTCGTCGTTCGTCGCTCGTCGCTCATCGTCGTCGTGCGCGCGGGCGCGGCTGTGGTGCCGGAACCGCACGGCGGGGGGGTCGTTACGTCATACCCCCCCCCCCATGACGCCCGTTATCGCCGAAAATAAAGAAATGCTATACAATTCTTCGTCGCTATACAAGAATCGGCGCCCCGCCCCTTGGAGGTTCCAAGACCTTCCCACTCTGGGGGTCTGTCCGTGTCCACCGATGTGGGCATGTGTCCCTGAGGACCTCGCGGAGCGCCAGATGTGCGGATGCGTCCAACCCTCGGGGGACGGGAATGGGGGCCGTGTCTAGCGCCCCGCCGGATCTTGGGCGGCCCACCTTCATATCGGTGGTTACCCTATCGGTCGTGGAAAGTAGGCATGTTGTGCATCTGTATCCGTAGATTCCAATCTACGTTCGGCGCCACTCTGTTGCAGTGATCGAGTTGCTCTCCCTCCTCTCTCATCAGGGTGCGGGTGGAGTTCCGATAGATACTCCAACGACTTCCTGCTACACGCTTCAACCCACCTGTTCCGAACGAGGGTACGGGTAAAACTCCCCTTCGTGGGGCCCTCTCGGTGCTCCCACGTCTGCACGGGCAGGCCCGAGAGAGAGAGAGAGGGTGGCGGGCCTCTGCGGGAGGAGTGGTGGGCCATCGGCCTCAGCATCTTCGCGTCGAACATCGGGACGGAGCACTTCGTCGGGCAGGCGGCCACAGGGGCGGGGCGCCCTCTGCGAGAGGCCAGCGCAAAACGAAGTCGTCGGCGTCGGCGTCGGCGTCGTCGTCGTCGTCGACGTTGACTGTGTCATGACCTTCCCGGCGCTGGCCGCGCTTGGCCTCGCGCGGCCAGGCCCTCCCGATGGGCCCCGGAAGGGGTGGACCGCTTGCACCGGATCGGCAGCGTACAGAGGGTCGGGGGCAACGATAGGGGTGGATTAGGCACAGGTGGGACGCATCGCCCCCAATCGACAATTGGTCGCCAATAGGGGCCCGATAGCCCCAGCCTGCCCAGGAAGGCGCGGATTCACTATCGGAGGCATATCGCCGATCTGTCGGCGATGTTTTGTCGACGGTTTGGGCCCCCCCACCACCCCAATGCTAATGCCATCGGCCCCCGCCCTCGCGCGATGCCCCCCCCCCCCCCCCCCCTGTGGGCGTGGGCGTGGCGTGGTGGCTCCTCCCCCCCCCTGTGGATGTGGTGTGGGTGTGGTGTGTTGCTGTGGGTGTGTGCGGGGTGACGCCATGGTCCTCCTCCCCCCCTCCCTCCCCCCCTGTGGGTGCGGTGCGGGTGCGGCGTGTTGCTGGGATTGGCGTCATGTTGACAGCTCCGGTGCTCGACGTCGTCGCCGCCGCCGCTGGTGGTGCCGTCGACGTCGTCGTTGTCGTCGTCATTGTCTGTGTCGTCGTCGTCGTCGTCGTCATTGCCGTCGTCCTCCTCTTCCTCCTCCTCCTCCCTCCTCCTCCTCCTCCTCCTCCTCCTCCTCCTCCTCCGCCTCCTCCTCCTCCTCCTCCTCCTCCTCCCCCCCATCCCATCTGGGGGGGGGGGCGAGAACCCTGGGATCCATCCCATCTGGGGGGGGGGGGCCCGAGGACCCGGAGCCCGCGATCATGTATAGCCGATTCCAGGTCGGTGCATCACCCCCCTGTGCCAGTCCCCCCCCCATCGTTGCCCCTCAGAGGGGGCTCGAGCAGTGGCGAAGCGCCCTGGCTTTCGTATAGGCCCACCAAAAGATGTCTCAGGAATCTAAGAGCGCTTCTGGCTGAGACTGTCTTGTTTTAACCCTGGTTTTAACACCTCGGGTTTATGTTCTAATAACATGGTGTTTGCTCTTGGAACATTTCTGGGTTCTGGGAATATTTCGTGGTAGGCCTATAGGATTGCCGGGACGGTCGGTCCCTGCTCAAGGGGCCAGACTTCGTGAGCGTCGAGGAACAGAGAGCGAGACACTCTGGAGGCCACCTGGCAGCCTCGGGGTGCTTTGGGGTTCCAGGGAGTTTCGTCTGAACGGGCGCTGAAGCATCGCGAGCTCCGGCCCTCGATGCTCGACCCTCGGCCCTCAGTCGTTGGTCCTTCCCTTCTCTTTCCCTGCCGTAGTCTACCACCTCTCCTCCTCCTCCTCCTCCTCCTCCTCCTCCTCATCCTCTCCCTCTTGCTTCTTCTCTCTGCAGCTGGCGGACGAGCTTGCCCTGCTGTGCGCATGCCACGGGCCCTTGCCAGGACCCCAGTTGCATCAGTCAAATTTCCAGAGCCTGTCGACGGTCGCCAAATCTAGACTGGTTCATGCCATATTGCCCGAAGATTCCTTCCTCACCCGCATACTCTACAATTCGATTTCCCAGTACCTCGCTCATATATCCATTGGTGTTTGCTTAGCTTCTTATTGGGCAGTCTAAATCAGAGTCACCGTCAATTCGTACGGCAGGCAACCGCTTTAAAGACGTTTTGCACCCCCCCGGGGGTAGAGCTTCAGCAACCGCTTCAGCATTGCAACAGACAGCTACGCGGCCAGAAATGTTTGAAGTCGGGACGGAAAAGACAAGTGCGGTTAAATTTGCAAGGACGGGGGTAGTCCCCCGCAGGCCTCGCGGCCTACGGAGCAAGATCTTTCTGCAGTAGCACTGCGGCAGTAAGAGTTTCAGGAATACATCGAAGCAGCTTCGGACAACCTCATCCCTGCCAAGAGCTTCGAAACGATCATGAACCCCCACCTTGACCAGAACAGGGGCGATGTCCAAGCCATCAAGACACGCGGGGTGGCCCAGCACGATTGCACTACCGTCGTCAATTCCCTGAAAGTGGCCATTGATGATGTCACTACGCGCGTCTTGACCCACGACACATCTTCCCAGTCATCGTCAGGGACATCGGCTGCTGCGGCGGGCTCGACTACAATTACCAAAATTACAGGAGGTCGAAATTTGAATTGCTGCCCTCAAACAGCCCCATGCCATGCTGGTATCAGCGCAGTCGACTGGAGCCAGCACCACCGCGAGCATGCCAGGCAATAATATGATTGCAAGAGTTTATTGGAAATTCGGGGGAGCTGGGCCATTCCAAACATTACCGAGTTTGGGCCACCCACGACCGCCCGCCTTTAGTAAGAGCGGCTCGCAGCTTCGCGTGTGGCATCACATAGTATATGACAACAACACATGCTTGGCAAAGCATGCCCCATCAGGGTAGAAGATTCTTCCGCTCTTCATCCATACTTGGTTGTGGTTTGGGGCTTTCGGCAATGTCCGTGGACATTGAAGCAAACGCTGTTATACAAGGGAGTGGGGCGTGTATGGCGGGGATATATTAGGGCTTCTGGCGCCGTCGTGGACCGTGTGATTGCAAACCAGGACAGGCGGAGAGAGCGGCGGGGCGGAAGAAGCTAAACTGGATCCGCGGTGGGTGCTGGCAAACGCTACAATACAAGACCTTCTCTGGCAGCCAGCGCCGGAGCCAGCGCTTGTACACTACAAAACGGCCAACCCCACCTTCCCCTTCATTTCACCCGCCTCTTGAGTACGAAGATACTGCCATGGGGCAAAGATACAACGCTGGATCCCTGTCCTCATGGCTATATTCACTCCCCCCCAGCCATTGCTGTCAACGTGGACGTAGTCCCCATTGTCCCCACCCCTACCATGTCCCGCTACGGTGAAGTTCGCTCCGGGAATTTGTTTTCCGATTTATTTATTTTGTCATTTGCCTTGTCAGCGGCCCAGTGCGATAGAGGATGGGTTCGCAGTTGATTCTGCCTCCCCGAGCACATTCGTACGACCTTCACCAGCAGCGTTGGTTATGCCCAGCCAGTTGCGGGCAACACTACCATTTCCAGGTCGGCAAGTGCATGAGAGTTCGTTGTGCGAATCGCAGGCCCGTTTGGCGATCCAGACTCTTCCTTTTCTTTCCTCCCTGATTCCTCTCGCTTCGCGGGGTGCACGTCCCGTGTACGTACAGTGAAGTCGTTTTGGGGGATCTCGGGAGGTTCGTGGGGGCGTCTTGGGCCGTCTTGGGGGGCTCTTTCGCCGTTTGGCACCATTGTGGGCGGGGCTGGTGGCCATGTCGGGGCCTCTTGGGCTGTTTCAGGGGCTTGTGTAGGCAATCGTTCGGCCTTTTTGAGCTGTTTTTAGGGCTGTTTTTTCGGGGCCGTCGAGAAGCCGCGTTCGAAGCTGTTTCGGCCGTCATGGTCTTCGAGAGGTAAATCAATGCGACAGCGCCAAAAATTCTCGTCATTCTCCTGTTCCCCTCCCCTCTCCTGCTCCTTCAACCTCTTTCCCACTCCTTCTCCTTCTTGTCAGTATGCTTCTTCCTCCTCTTCCTTTTCCTCCAGCCCCCTCCGCTTCCTCCTTCTCCAGCCTGCTCATGGTTGTTTCTCCTTAGCCTCCGTGATTATCTTTCTCATCGTGTTTCCTTTTTCCTCTGTTCCTTCCCTTCCCTTTCCTCGACCTACTCATGTTTCTTTCTCCTGCCTCCCCTCTCATCCTTCTCTCTCTTTCTCACTCCTCGTCTTCCTCCTCCTCCTCGTCCTCCTCCTGCCTCTTCAGTATCCTCCTCTTCCTCTGTCGGTCTCCTCCAGTTTTCTCCTGCTCCCAGCCCTCGTTCGCTACATATTTCTTCCTGGGGCCTCCCGCCTTCTGGGGGTGACTCTTTCCTCCTGGAGCCTCCTGGCGCCTCCTGGAGCGTCTTCTTTAGATGTCCGTCGACTCTGGCTTCTTCCCCTCAATGGTTGGCTTTTGGAGCCGAGTTTCCCCCCTTGATTCTTTCCTCCTTCTGATGTTTCTCCTCCTCGTCATTATCCGTCTTCTGGGCCGTCTCTCTCTCTCTCTCTCTCTCTTTGTCTTTCTCTTTCTCTCTCTCCCTCTCTCTCTCTCTTACTGTTTCTCTATGCTGTGTAGTATGACGACAAGTGTGGTACTTGCGTCGGTGTCGGCATAAGCATCACGATGATGTTTCTGGTGATGCTGAACACGGCATTGGTCATGTCGTTCGCAATGGTCCTTGCATTGATGATGGTGCTGGCCAGATGGCCATTGCAATCGTGATGTCACGGTGATTGACGTGGTGGTGGTTGGGATGATGATGATGATGATGATGATGATGATGAGGATGAGGATGAGGATGAGGATGAGGATGAGGATGAGGATGAGGATGAGGATGAGGATGAGGATGAGGATGAGGATGAGGATGAGGATGAGGATGAGGATGAGGATGAGGATGAGGATGCGGATGAGGATGAGGATGACGACGATGATGGTAAATTCAATGATGATGATGACGATGCCGATGACGATGATTTTGACCATGATGATGACGATGATGATGATGATGATGACGACGACGACGATGATGATCATGGGCGCCGCCGTGACCAATTTCCACCTGGCTGGCGCTGCGCCGCACTTCGCCCAGGGGAATGACAGTAATCTCCAGTCGTTGTGTGGGCTGGGAGGGGCTTCTATGGGGCCTTTTGGAGGCTTCTTGGAGACTTCTTGGAGACCTCGGGGCTTCTTGGGGCCACTTGGGGGCCTCTTGGGGGCCTCTTGGGGCCTCTTGGGGGCGTCCTGGGCCGTCGTGGGGCGTTTTTCTGCCGTTTCGCCCATTCGGAGGCCGTCTTGGGGGCCTCTCGGGGCCGCCCCGGGGTCCTCTTGGGGTCCTCTTGGGCCGGCCTAGGGGCTTCTTGGACTGTCTTGGGAGCCTCTTTGGGCCGTCTTGGGG